ATGGGATTTTCAGCTGAGATGTTTGAGGTCTTTACCTAAGATAAAGTAAGTACTATTTTATAATTATATTTATAACTTACTTTATATTTTAATTGGAATAAAAGACTTTTTTTCTATTTTTTTGTTAGTCCTACCTCTATGGGCTGGGCTTCTCCCAAGTAATTCATGTTCTCCATTATTATTTAGTTGAGGTCAGCAATGACTATTCCAAACTTCAACTTTCAATGCTTTGTATTTTCAATGACTTATGCCTTCTTTTTGGCTAACTGGGAGGCTTTTCTTCATTCTGTCTGAAAAGGTCTTTTTGTGCAGATGGTGCACCTATTGAGGGAAACTTTACTTGGGACTTACTTAATGAGGGTCTCTTCAAATATTTCTCTGATGGTAATGTATAATTTAGGAGCAAGTGTACCACTGTGTTCTTTTCTCAGGATCACTGTATTCTTTTTTCAGGTGACATGCATCTGGAGAATAATAAACATAGTCTTCAGTGCAAGAAAAAAAATAAACTAGAGTTCTTATCACCCTTAGTCATATAAGATAAGTTCTTTCTTTTTCTTTTTACTTACCACAACAAAAGAGGGAAAGGCAAAATGTGAGGCTGAGCAGAGACCAAACACAATCAAGTGCCATTAGACTAGTCAGCTTTCTACCTAAAAGCCATTGCTGCTAATTTCCCAACTCATATCCATGTAGGAACATAAGAAATACTGAGCACAGGGATGGGGGCTGCTCAGTAGGTATGTTACAGAAGAGTCCACATAACACACATACCAACCAACCTGGGAGTGAATAAACTCTACTATAACCCTGTGAAATCAGATGTATAGAAACTTCCATTAAAGTGGTCTGAAATTTTAAGCTTTGCCAACATTGTTTAACAAAACTATAATATACAAAAGAAACAACAATTTTATGCATATACTTTTAATAAAGGACATAGGAAGATAAAGCTTATTAGTATTTGTGGGTGTTTCTGTAGCAAGACACATGATTTTAAGAATACCATATATAATAACTTTGAGCAGATTGGTGGAAAAAAAAATTTATAGCAAATTGGCAAGTTCAGCTTAACTGCTGAGGGCCCCAGTGCCTTCTTTTTCTGGCTCTCCAATACATTTCATATATTACCAAGACTAAGTACCAGCTTTCCTGCTGTGTCTCTCTGCTGATTTAGCCAGCAGGGTGACAGCAATTATTCCTTGAATGTGTCTTACCTTATTGGTTTTTTTTTTCCGCATTCAATGCCATTCCCTACTAAAAATCTGTTTCCTGATATACTGCATTCATTGTCCATTTTAACTCATTCTGCTAATGGCCACATACCAGCCTGCTACAAAGAACAAATTTAATAGTTTTAAACACTGTGCAGGACACAGCCCTAGCCCTTCTGGGGAAACAAACAGCTGTTGGTTGCATGCTATTAGGAGCCACCTGTTCATTATTATATTACATAACCCCTGCATTCAAAAGACTACAACTTAATATGGTACCTTACAGCTAAAGTTAAAGAAATGCAGATGTGCCATACCTCATAAGCCATTTCCTACTGATTGGATGGAATGCATAAATTTTCCATTTGTGAACACGGACTTGTGAAAGGGTTTAACAATCTTGTCTTTTGCACCAACTGGTACCATAGCTACTCTGGGAGTAGAGGTTTTAGAATGAATAAATGGAGTGTTCTTCACTTGCAGTGAGTGTTGGACTTTTTCTAAAAGAGGACAAAGAATTATTCCTTTAAAGTACTTGCTCCTGATGACCAAACGGCCTACTTTGGGGGCAGTGTGTAGTGTACATATGTGTATGCACACATGTATGTAGATATATATGTGTGATGAGAAGTAAAAGGGATAGGCTTTGCATGACTGTTACATCCTATGAATTGGGGCCATGTTAAATTTCAGGTGCATGTCACAATAATGTACATTCAATATTCTTAAAACATACCTGCTTGGGATTGTGCTTAATCTCCATTAACCTCAATGACAACACTTTTGTGCAATTTGGCATAAACATGGGGAAGCACATTCTTTTCCCTGGCAAAGACAGCCCTGAGATTGGGCTCTATGGGTACTAAAGGAGATAATGGCACTGGCTGATGTCACACAGTGTGAAATAGATGTGTTACATGGGACCCGTGTGGGAAAGAGACACATGTTACATTTATGTCACATAGAAAATAAGAGTTGTTTAATTGCATACTTTTAGATTTTGGATGAATTGGAGCTTTTCTGAAATGTGATCCTGCCTGAATTAATCTCAATATTCTAAGTTGTTCCCCAATATTTCCAGTACTGGGAAGCCAAGTCAGTCTAATAGTGCACTGGACATGATAACTGAGGTCTGCTCCAGACAGCTATGTGCTTTTGAAAGCCACTTCATTTTTTTTTTGCCTCAATTTTTCCAGATGTACCATGGGGAAAATGATTTCTATTCTAAGGACATTGTTGGAATGAACTGAATAACTTAAATAAAGTAATCTGAACTCTGCAAGAACAAGTCAGCAATGAGAGCATGGAAGTAAGAATGGAGCACACTGGTTTGCTTAGAAATACTGTTATGGTTCAAGTTTTCACTCCAGTCCTTCAATGAAAGACTTATAAGAGCACTAGGGAGTTACATAGCACCTTTCAGTTGTAGGATCCTAACAATGAGTGTTTTATTTTGCAAAAGGGGAATATGGGTACCAAAAATTGGGGAATGAGATCCCACAGAGGTTATTTGACAGGGCTCCAAGGAAAACAGGCAATGGAGCCAGATCAGGATACACTAATTATTAAATGAACCTCTCTGTCAATCAATAGTCAATCAATTGGGGCAGGATGCTTATGTACAGTAGTCAGTACTGAATTATGTATGGATAGGGGTATTATCAGAGTCTATAAACTAGTGTAATAAAGGTGCTGAGATAGGAATAGGGTTTATTTCTCCAAGCCCCCACTTGAAACTCTGATTTATTTGGCCTTTTGAAGATGGTGTAAGTCTGTAAGACATGAAACAATCAGCTTTGCATTATAGCTCTCCTGGGCTTTATCCTTCCAGTGCTTCCCTGTAGTTTTCTGACACTGTCTTTTATAACCTGATTTATTTCAGTGCCAAGTGCTGATACACTCTATGCATCAAAGAATTTATTGATTCCTTCCTGACTTTGAATCATAGTTAGAAGCTACCCTGCCTAAACCCTTGGCAAAAAAATGATAGATGAGAAAGGGAAAGATTTCTTTGAGGCCCACTGGCTGTGGAGTTAAGTAATGGCCCTATTTTTTAGAGAAAGGTGCTTTACTATATGAATAAAAGGCAAGGTTTGTCCATCATAAGACCATGTGAATTCCTAAATAAGCTTTCAAGAAAAACCTAAACAAGAGAGTGTTTTGGAGAGAGAGGGAGGAAGGGGAAAAATCTTCCCAGCTGAACATACACGATTTCATTTGTGAAACCCGGTGTGTATAGTCTTCTATGTTGCTTCTTAGCATCTTAGTAATCTGAACTCTGCAAGAACAAGTCCCTGGCCCTAATAGATTTTGTCATGTCTAGTTATTTTCTCAAATGAAATGCTGGCACAATCCATTTAATTTATGCTAAAAGTCTCACCTGGCCCCAAATCACCTAGAGGATCCAAATAAACAAGTTTTTTGTTTTTTAAGTAGCTGAATTGTTCACTTTCTCAGCTCCACTGGAACCTGAACACCAAATAGTTTGTGGTAGGCAAATTTTCTTTTACTAAGAAAGGTTTTAGGGGGGATGACTTAGTAAACCTAATGTCCTTCTAGGAGTTCAACTCCTTGACATCTGTAAGATGCCTCTAACTCTCAATAATTTCTGTAAGAGTTGGGACTTCTATTGCTGGCAGCTGGGCACTAGGACAGTGGCTGAGAAATGAAAATCATCACTGCTCTTAGGTATTATTATTATAAAGACTCAGCATTAGTGTTCATACTCATTGATTCAGGCACTAGGACTAAAAGAAAGGCTGATTATAAATAAATGGGGAAATGAATGTAAACTGTCTTAATGGCTGAACTACCACTGAAGCTAGAAAGAAGAAAAGAAAAAGAAAGTATTGGCATATTACTATTAGGTTATCATTATCTATACACTAAACCCTGCTGTGAAAACATAGCTTGAGTGCTAATCCTTAGGCCAATTTCAACTTTGAAACTTTACCATATGAACAGTATTGTAATTAAACCTGAAAATGACCCTTAAGCTCCTTAACAAAACCTATGGTGCATAACTTAGGGTTATGGTTTTTCTATCATCATAAGAACAATTAATATAGGTAAAAATAAAGCTAGGTAGCAGAGAAAATAATAAAAGTGGAGAATTTTACTACAACCTGACATTAAAAGTCTTTAAAACACCAATACTTAATGTTTAATAAAGTGGAAATCTGATCTGATCTTCTCTATTAGTTGTGGTGCTTTCAGGAACATCACACATTTATGACAGAGAACAGGCTTTGTATTGTTCAATTTCCAATTTGAGGACCTCGATTATGGTGTGTTGATTATGCCTCTTGACTTTTAAATATCTGATATAGGGATGGTGTTGACAGCCGAGCAAGTATTTAAATTGCTATTTAGGGAGAAAAAGCAGGATTGAATAAAAACCTTGGATTTTTTTAACCTTGATTTTCACAACACCACAACAGAATTTTGTGTAAATATGCTGCATATATGCATGCTTATAAATGCACAGGCACACAAGCAGCAGTCTGATTTCCCTTAATACCACAAAGACCCTATAAATATAATTAACAATCTTTCTAGGGGAGTTAGAGACTCCATGGAAGTTTTTTGAATTCCTCTATACCTGAGAAGAGGAATAAAAAGAGCCCCTGGAAAGGTATATATGTTACATTTAGGTTTTTACAGATTGGGAGGTAAAATGAAGAAAGAGAGGAAGACTGGCTTGAATTAATTGCTACCAGATTGATGAGTTCAGTTAGTAAATTAAATAACTTGTAAAGTCCTGAAACATCTATCTGCACAGCAAGTATTTAATGGAATGCTTTTAAATTGTGAAGCTTTCAATCCACCATGGTGACTTATTTTGAAGATTAAAATGGTTCCCAACATTGAACTCTGTAAGCCTCATGGGAGATGGAGGGTCCTGGGAATGAAAAAAAGAAATTCACAGGTGAGCTGAACCACTGTAAATATCCACACAGTAACATCCATTGACAATAATATGCAACCATTAAAACGATGTTTATGAAGAGTATGTATCAGCACTGAAAAATACTAAGTGAAAAGAGCAGGATGAAAAATTATATATACAATGTTATAATTATTTTTAACCCAGAAATTGTATCTGGAACAAAAAACTGAGGAAATATACTAAATTGTTCAAAGTGATCAGTTCACAGGTAATTTTTTTTATTTTCTTTACATTCTACTTGTATTTTCCACATTTTCTCAAGTAAATATATAATTGATAGCACAAAACATTTATTTTTGAAATTCACAAGAAAATAACATGAGCTTTGAAAGTGGGTAATTGTGAATTTGAATTCTAAGCTTTGCTACTTGTTATCTCTGTGACTCTGGACAAATAACATCAATGGACCTTAGTTTCTTCATCTGTAAACTAAGCACAATAAAATCTACCTGAAACAACATCTGGCATATAGTAGGCACTGAAGTAGCTGTTATTAGTATAAGCTTTTTGGAAAACAATTCAGCCATATAGTTTAAGAGTTTTTCAAATTAAGTTCATACCAGTAATTTTGCTTCTAGGATTCTATTCTAAGAAAATAATTATAAATGAGAAAAAAGATTAATATCCAATGACATTATTGATGGCCTTATTCATAATAGTGAAAAACTGAATAAAATCTTAATGTTGGAAAGAAGGAAATTGATTAAATAAACAACAATACCTTAATATAATGGGAAATTACTATTGGCGTTCAGAAAAAATACAGAATTCAAAACTGAACACAATATGATCTCAATGTTTAAAAAACATATTCATAGAAAATATTGGAAGGGATACAACAAAATGTTAACATGAGTTATCTTTAGGTGGTGGAATTATAGGTGATTTTAATTTTCTTCACGTTTTCTTCTCCTTTTTGTTATGTTTAATATACCTTTAAAATTAATTCTAGTGTGTTGATTATAAAAGCAATTCATATTCATCATAGAATAATTGAAAAATATAGAAAGGAATAAAGAAAAATAATGACCTATAATCTCAGAGACTGTCTTTCATTCTCCCTCCTTCTCATCATTCATTCAACAAATATTTATTGAATACTTACCATGTGCCAGGCACTGTCTTAGGGACTGGCAGTAAAATGTGAACAAGACATAGTCCCTGCCCTCAAGGAGCTTACAATTTAGTGCGGGAGACAGACAAGTAAATAAAGTATTATAACACAGAATAAAAGTGTTCTCATGTTATTACGGTAGCATCCAGAAGGGACATAGAGCTCAGCTATGTAGGTCAGTCAGTGATGTACCCTGAGCAAATGATGTGGAAGCTGAAACCCGGAAAATATACAGCCAGATGAAGGAGACTGGAATGGAGGAGGTGAGATGCTGCTGAGAAAGCGTCCCAATCATGGAAAACAGCAGGGGTGTGTTTGAGGGACTGAAAGCAGTAGAGTGTGGGTCAACCATAGGGTGTAGGGATAAAACTAGTGGAGAGGAAGCTTCGGAGTTGAGAATCATGGGAGATGAAACTGGAGACATGAGCAGGGGCCAGATCATGAAAGGACCTATAAACCATGTTAAGGAGTTCAGACTATGCTGAGGCCGATGAAAGTCATTACACAGATTTGAGTTTTTAACATCATTCTAGTTGCCATAAGGAGAATGGATTGGACGAGGGGCAGGATTGGAGGCAGGGAAACCAGTTAAGAGGCTACTACAGCAATACAGGGGACACATGATCTGGGGTCATGGTCATCAGTATAAAAAAAAGTACACAGCTTCCAGAGATATTTAGGAAACACAATTAACACACCTTGGTGATTAATTGGATGTGGGTGGAAGATGAAGGAGTGGGAACAAAACAGGAAATAGGTTTTTGGATGGGTGAAGTTGAAAGGCACTTGGTTATTCAGGTCTGGAGTTCAGGAAAGTCCTGGGTTGGAGAAACATATTTAGTAAGTTGTCAGTGTGTGTGTGTGTATGTGTGAGTGTGTGTGTATATATATGTATATATGTGTATATATAATATGTATATTGTGTGTATACATATACACACATAATTATATATTATATATAATTATATATTTCATATATATTATATATACACACATTCTTTAGCCAAGGAATGGATAGATTTCCTAAGGAATGACTAGATTAATGTGATGGTCAGGAAAAAACCTAGCAAAGTTTGGGAAGATATTATTTCAATAAGACCTCCCTGATGATAGGGGGGAAGGAAAGAAATTGTAGGAAGTTTGAGAGAAGCATGACAGAATTTTAAAAAATTTTTGCTTTATTGTTTAATTTTTAAATTTAAATGCATATAATCTTGTAACCACCATCTCAGATAGAATACAGCTGTTATCTTCATATACTAATTTTGTATGAACACTGGTTTTCATTATTCTAGGGGAAATATTCAAGAACGGGATTACTGTGTCATATGGTAAATGTATATTTAACTTTATAAGAAACTTTATAACAAACTGCCAAACAGTTTTCCAGAGTACCTGAGCTATTGTGCATTCCTACCAGAAATGTAGGAGAATTCCAATTATTCTTCATCCTTCTCAACACTTGGAATTTTCACTATTTTTTTTTAAATTTACCCATTCCAGTATGAGTGTAAAGGATTCTCCTTGCGGTTTTAATTTGCATTTTCCTAATGGCTAGTGATGTTGTGCATCTTTTCTTGTGCTTATTTCCACTTTTTTGGTGAAGTGTCCATTCAAACCTTTTGCACATTTTTTATTATGGTGTTTCTTTTCTTATTTCTGAGGTTTTAGAGCACTTTACATATAGTCTGGATACAAGTCCTTTATTAGATACATATTTTGTAAATATTTTCTCCCCATCAGTGGCTTGTCTTTTTGTTTTCCTAACAGCATTCTTTTGAGAAAACATTTTAAATTTTGTTCAAGTCTAAACTGTAAATTTTTCCTTTTATGTATTTTACTTTTGATGTCATATCTAAGAACTTTGCCTAAGTCAAAGTGACAAAGGTTTTCTCCTACATTTTAAGAGTTTTATAGTCTTATATTTTACATATAGGTATATGATCCATTTTGAATTCATTTTTTTATGTTGTGAAGTGCACATGTTGCAGTGATGTCCAGTTGTTCTAGCACCCTTTGTTGAAAAGACTGTATTTTCTCCAGTGAATTACCATTACATCTTTGTGTAAAAATCAACAGACCATCTTTATGTGGGTCTATTTCTGTATTTTACTTTTTATTCTGTTCCACTGGTTTATGGGTCTATCCTTTTGCCAATAACACACTGTCTTGACTACTGTGGAATTATAGTATGTCTTAAAATTGGACAGATTTTGTGTTCTGACTTTAATTTTCTTTTTAAGATTTTTTTTGGCTACTGTAGTTCCCTCGCTTTTCCATATAAATTTTAGAATCAGCTTGTCTATATCTACAAAAATCCTGCTACAATTTTAATTGGGATTGCATTAAAACTGTCTACCAATCTGGGGAACACTGAAATCCTAACTCTATTGAGTCTTCTGACTCATGAACATAGTTTGTTTATTTATTTAGGGCTTCTTTGGTCTTTTTCATAGTGTTCTGTAGGTTTCAGTATACAGATCTTATATATGATTTGTTAGGTTTATATCTGGCTATTTAATTGCGGGAGTTATTATAGGTAGTACTGTGTTTTTTAATTTTGCTTTCCAAATTGTGCATTGCTGGTGTATGGAAACACAACAGATGTTTGTGTGTATTGATCTTATGTGTTGTGAACTAGCTAAACTCATTAGTTCTAAGAGTTTTTGTAGATTCTTTGAATTGTCTATGTAGACAATCATGTCATCTGCAAATCAGGATAGTTTTTTTCTTTACCAGAGTGCCTTTATATCTTTTTCTAGCACTACTGCATGTGTCAGGACTTTCATTATGATAACGGATAGGAGTGATATGAGAAACTGTATGAAGTTGTGGTTAATAGAGGAAAGAACACTGGTAAGGAGGTAAGTAGTGAAGATATTTCAAGCCAGTTTAGGCCAGAGATCACAAATGTGTAATCTCAGTTGTGTTTTTTTGTAAAAAGTTCCAACCAGTATTTATAATCAGTTGTGTTATTTTTGTAGTAGTTCTCAGCAGCCTGAGTATAGGAATGGAGAAGGCAGATGGACTGAATCTGGAATTTTTTTTCTGGCTGAGGCAATGGAGTTAGGGCAATATAAGTATTGGCAAGAAATGCCACTTGCAACAACATGGATAGACCTAGAATGTATGATGCTAAGTGAAATAAGTCAGTCAGAGAAAGACAAATACCATACGATTTCACTCATATATGGAATTTAAGAAACAAAACAGATGAACAAAGAAAAAGATGAACAAAAAAAACCCCTACTCTTAAATACAGAGAACCAACAAGAGGTTGCCAGAGGGAAGGTTGTGGGGGAGAGGTGAAATACATAAAGAGTACAAGGGTACGACTTATCTTGATGAGCATTGAGTAATGTATACAATTGAACCATATTGTAATATAACACTGTACTTTAATTATACTTCAAAAAATATATTGGCAAGAGAGAAGTTGAAGGCTTTCTCCAGTCAGTTAGATAGAGAAGGGAGTAACCATGTAAAAATTTAATTCTTACTTATGTTTTTATTATATTTCTTTTCAGTGTTTTTCTACATATAAATATATTTTAATACTTAAAAGTTTTAAATTAAAATTTAAAATGTAATTTTATAATGCAAGGTTCATCCATGTTGGAACATGTATTCCTTGGGTTGCCAAATAGTATTCCATTGTATGGATATGCCACATTTTATTTATCTATTTATCAGCAGATACATGTTAGGGTTGTTTCCACATTTTGGCCATTATGAATAATGCTGCTGTGAACATTCATGTAGAAGTTTTTGTGTAGACATATGTTTTCATTTTTTTCCATTATATACAAGGACTGGAATTTCTGGGTCATACAGTATTTCTATGTTTAACATTTTGAAAGACTATCAAACTGTTTTCCAAAGTCACTGAACCATTTTACACTCCAATCAGCAATGTATGAGGTTTCTGATTTTTCCATATCATTGTCAACACTTATTATCATCTGTCTTTTGGATCCTAGTGGATCCAAAAGATACCACCTAAATGGTATCTTGTGGTTTTGATTTGCGTTCTTCTAATGGCTAATAATGTTAAGCATCTTTTCACGTGCTTATCAATCATTTACACATGGAGAATTATCTATTCAAATCCTTTGTCATTTTTTTAAAAATTGGCTTTTTAATTATAGAATTGTAAAAGTTTATTATTCTGCATATAAGTCTCTTATTGGATATTTGATTTGCAAATATTTTCTCATCAAAGGCCACATATATAATTCCATGGGATCATGAATTATGTGGAATGTCCATAATAGACAAATCTATAGAGACAGAGAGGTAGATTAGTGGTTACCAAGAAGTGGGAATGGAGGAATGAGGAGTGACTGCTTAAGAGTATGGAGTTTCTAAATATTCTAAATTAATTGTGATGATGGTTGCGCAACTCTGTGACTATCCTAAAAACCACTGAATTGTACATTTTAAGTGGTCAAATCATATGGCATTGTGAATTATATCACAAGAAAGCTGATAAAAATGTACTTTTAAAATTAAACTGCATTCATACAGCTTTTTAACATAACTATTAATTATTCTTCAAAGTAGTTACTTTTAATGGTGCAAACTATTTCATCATAATAATGGAGTAATTTATTTTACCATTCCTCTATTGTTAGATATTTAGTTTTGTTTCTACTTTTCTGGTATTATGGTAAGTTGATAATGAATAGTTGTGCAGATCTCTGATTATATCATTAAAATACATTCCTAAAATTTGATTATCAAATAAAATTGTATGAACATTTTATGGTTTTTATGTTATTAAATTGCCATAAAAATGATGTATAAATTTAAACTTACATCAGCAGTATATAAGATACCTGTTTCAACGTGTCCTTATCAATACTAAGTACTATAATTTATAAAAATTGGTTGCTTTAGTAGACATAAATTGATATTTTGGGTTATTTTATTTGCATTTCTTTCTAATGAAGTTGAATAATTTATATGTTTATTTTTCATTTTAACTTTCATTTGTTGATTGCCCATTTTCTAATGGTTGTATTTTTTCCTTTCTGATTTGCAAGATTTTTGTAAATTAAGGATGTTAAATTTTGTGTATTATGTATTTTGCAAATGTTTCTACAAGTTTGTTTTTTCATTTTGAAGGAAATGTTTAGAATCAGTGCTTTTTGTGTAAAAATTAGGGCAAAATATCTTTACCTATAAAAATTTGAAGCAAAATTTAAAAATATGTTAGCGTTTGTTAATATTAAGTTGTAAATAAATGGGAATTTAATTTAAAAATTTTTGGGAGATGGAGTGTTATGTACATGAATTCTATGTAAGGTCTACAGAAAGGGAAACACATTATAAGGGCTATTAGTCAAGTTTATAAATTAAATATAGAATTTCTGCTTATGTGAATAATATGAGGGTGAAGAATTTAACATCTTGTTCACCAGAGCAAGAACTTACTTCTTTTTGAGTCTGCTTCCAAGACTGCCTCTTAGCACTCTAGGTGCCTCCCTCAGAATACTGACCTGAGAGATGCAGGAAATGTGTAAACTGCTATGTTTCTGTTTCCACGGTGAGAGATGATGAAGCTTCTGGATAATCTGTAGGTTGAAAAGTGAAGGTGATCAAATGACCCTTTCTCTTGTATGGGTGGGTATTCATTCACTGGTATATTTCCTTTTTGTTCAATCCCTGTAGACAGCAGATATCTGCAGATCTCTAAAGACTGGTGTGCTATACCAAAGCATTTGTAATCAGTTGAGATATTCACATTCCAAGAGTAGTCAGGTTGATGTACTATAAAATAAGATTATTTTATTTATAAGCATATCTGATCTTTAATACTGGCAGGTATTAGATAGCTGTGATGACAACTCAACATCATCTGGCTTTGATGGGATGCTTTGGGTCTTGCTACTCACAAAATTACCCTATCTCATGCTTTTTGATTGGACATAATTGAAATAGCTATTAAAGTACTTTGGTGTTGCTGTGTTTCAAAAAGGAATGAGGGATCTAGAATGTAAGAGGCTTTGGAATTAACAGGCAACATCATTTATGGCACAAATGTTTTTGTTTCCAATCTGAGCATTTTGGGGAAGTAAAGTATACTCTGAATCAGCTTCCTTAATGTACAGATAATCACTTTCTTTATACTCTTTGCATAATAATGTACTTGGCAGTTTGAGATTTAAAAAATAGTTGCTGGGGGAAAGGAAAGTGGCGGTGGAATAGGGGGACCCTAGGCAAGTCTTGTTCCATGAACACAATGAGATAACTAACCATTCTAAATAGCCCAGAAGTAGAACTGAAGACTGACAGAACAAACTCCACAACTAAAGGGAGAGAAGAGGTCACATTGAAAAAGGTAGGAAGTGGGGAGACAAGGTTTGGGGGGAAACAGATCACAGGTGCTGCAGAGGGGAGGGAGCCATGGTCATGGAGAAGGGCAAGAGAGAGAGAAGCACATGGGGGAATGTACAAGAATGTTTCCCCAAAGCCACTGGCTTGGAAAAGGGGAGGAGCTGAATTTCATGAGTTCTTACAAACAGCAGCGTTTAAAGCCTTGAGTTTTAAAGGTCAGCAAGCTTGGCTGGGACAGAGCCTGGAGGGCACTTTGCTGCTCCTACAGAGAAGGCAGGCAAACAATGCAGGGGCAGAGGGTGTGGAAAAAATGATCTGAAGAACACCTGGGGCACATAGAAGGGAGATTATTCACTCTTCTCAGAGCACCTCCCTGAGAGCCAACATCCACAGAGATGCCTCTCCAGGACAAAGGAGCTGGCCTGTACCATTTTCCTTCCCTGCCCATCAGCATTAATACAGAGCCACCTGCGGGAAACACAGCAGTGCCAACATTGGCTGTCTAACTTGCTTACACCAAGCACCACACCCCTGCACACTGGTAGGACTGCCCTTCTCAGTCATACTTGCCTCAGTCCCAGTGCGGTGAGCCCCTCCCCAAGAAGACCAGCACAAACCCCTGCCCAGACCATGTCTCCCAACCAGAGAGTTCTTCAGGGTCTCAGTTCTGGTGGAGGTGGTGTCAGACCTCATTTCTCAAGAAGACCAGAGCACACCTAGTTAAAACTCACCTCATTCAGGACAGGAACCAAACACTGCCCACTGGAGGTAAGGAGAGCCTCTGCAGATGATTGGCCTGAAGGACAGAGAAGCCTAAACACAACAGCAGAGTACACGAAGCACACATCAGAGACAATCCCTGAAGGCCTGGGCCCTGGGCACTATATGACCCCTTTGTCTTAAGGCCATTACATTCAGGAGTAGGAGATATAACTGGCTTTTCTAACACAGAGATGAAGGTAGAGACTTAGACAAAACACAAAGATGGAGGAATTAATCTTAAATGAAAGAACAAGATAAGGCCATGGCTAGAGATGTAAGCAAAACAGATATAAGTAACATGCCTGATGGAAAATTTGAAGCAACAATCATATGAATACTCACTAGGCTTGAGAAAAGAATGGAAGATATCAGGGAATCCCTTACCACAGAGATAAAAGTGTTAAAAAACAATCAATCAGAAAAGAAGAATGCAATAAATAAGATTGGAAATAGGCTCGATGCAATGAACAGTAGGCTGCAAGAGGCAGAGGAATGAATCAGTGACCTGGAAGACAAAAGAATGAAAAGTAATGAAGGTGAACAAAAGAGAAAGAAGAATTATACAACACAAGAATAGACTTAGGGGACTCAGTGACTTTATCAAACACAATAACATTCATATTATAGGAGTCCCAGAAGAAGAAGGGAGAGAAAAGGGGGCAGAAAATTTATTTGAAGAAATAATAGCTGATAATGTATGTAACCTGGGGAAGGAACCAGATATCCAGATCCAGAAGGCACACAAAATTCCCATCAAAATCAACAAAAGCAGGCCAACACCAAGACATTTCATAATTACATTTGCAAAATATGGTGATAAAGAAAAAAATCTTAAAAGCTACAAGATAAAAGAAGTCCTTAACTTATAAGGGAAAAACCCATAAGGCTAGCTGGGGATGGCTCAACAGAAACTTGGCAAGAGACAAGAAAGTGGCATGATATATTAAAAGTGCTGAATGGGAGAAATTGGCAGCCAAGAATACTCTATCCAGGAAGGCTATCATTCAGAATAGAAGGAGAGATAAGAGTTTCCCAGAAGAACAAACACTAAAGGAGTTCATGACCACAAAACCAGCCCTGCAAGAAATATTAAGGGGGACTCTTTGAGTGGAGAGAAAAAAAACAAAAGTGACAAAGACAAAAAAGGAGGGGTGCCTGGGTGGCGCAGTAAGTTGAGCATCTGACTCTTAGTTTTGGCTCAAGTCGTGATCTCAGTGTTGTGAGATGGAGCCTTGTGTTGGGCTCCATGCTCAGCGGGGTTTGCTTAAGATTCCTCCTCTGTCCCTCCCCTCCATGCTCTCTCTAAAGTAAATAAATAAATCTTTAAAAAAAATAAGGATCAGAGAAAATTTCTAGACAATGATAAAACAAGTGATAAACTGGCATTAAATACATATCTATCAATAATTACTCTGAATGCAAATGCATTAAACACTCCAATCAAAACACATAGGGTGTCAGATGGATAAAAAACAAGACTCATCTATTTGCTGGCTACAAGAGACTCACTTTAGACCTAAAGACACCTGCAGATTAAAAGTGAGGAGATGGAGAAAAATTTATGTCACAAATGGATGTCAAAAGAAAGCTGGAGAGAAATACTTTTTAAAAAGATTTATTTATTTTAGAGAGACAGAGGTGGGGGAGGGACAGAGGGAAAGAATCTCAAGTAGACTCCTCACTGAGCATGGAGTCTGACACAAGGCTAGATTTTATGACCCTGAGATCATGACCCAAGCCAAAATCAAGAGTCAGATGCTTAACTGACTAAGCCACCCAGGTGCCTCGAGAGAAGTACTTATGTCACACAAACTAGACTTTATTTTTTTCAAGGTTTATATATTTATTTTAGAGAGAGCATGAGTGGGGAGGGGGTTGGAAGGGCCAGAGGGAGAAGGAGAGAGAGAATCCCAAGCAGACTCTCCACTGAGCAAAGACCTGATGTGGAGCTTGACCTCAGGACTGTGAATCATGACCTGAGCTGAAATCAAGAGTCAGATGCTTAACTGACTGAGCCACCCAGGTGCCACCAGACAAACTAGACTTTAAAACAAAGACTGTAACAAAAGATGAAGAAGGGCCCTTTATAATCATAAAGGGGACAATCCAACAGGAAGATCCAAAAATTGTATGTATTTATGCACCCAACATGGGAGCACCCAAATGTATAAAATAGTCAATAACAAACATAAAGAAACTCATTGATAATAATACAATAATATTAGGGGACTTTAACATCCCACTATCAATGGACAGATTATCTATACAGAAAATAAACCAGGAAACAATGGTTTTGAATGACACACTGGACCAGATGGACTTAACATATATATTCACAACATTCCATCCTAAAACAACAGCATACACATTCTTTTCAAGTGCATATGGGCACACCAGCATAGACAACATACTAGGTCACAAATCTGGCCTCAAAAAATACAAAGAGATTGAAGTGAAAGCATGCAATCTTACTGACCACAATGCTATGAAAGTAGAAGTCAATCACAAGAAAAAATTTGGAAAGACCACTAATACATGGAGGTTAAACAACATGCTACTAAACAATGAATGGGTCAATGTGGAAATTAAAGAGGAAATTAAAAAATACATGGAAACAAATGAAAATGAAAACATGACAGTCCAAAACCTTTGAGAGGTGATCACAAGCAATTGCAAGAGGGATGTGTATACCAATAAAGGCCTAATTCAAGAAGCAAGAAAAATCTCAAATCAACAACCTAACCTTACACCTAAAGGAGCTAGAGAAAGAACAACAAATGAAGCCTAAAGCCAGCAGAAGGAAGGAAATAACAAAGATTAGAGCACTAATAAATGATATAGAAACTAAGAAAATAATAGAACAGATCAATGAAACTAGGAGGTAGTTCTTTGAAAACATTAATAAAATTGACAACCCTCTCCGACTTACCAAATAAAAGAGAAAGGACCCAAATAAATAAAATCACAAATGAGAGAGGACAAGAAACAACCAGCACCACAGAAATCCAAATAATTATGAGAATATTATGAAAAAATTATGCCAACAAACTGGGCAATCTGGAAGAAATGGATAAATTCCTAGAAACATATAAATTACCAAAACTGAAACAGGAAGAAATAGAAAACTTGAACACACCAATAAAGAGTAAAGAAATTGAATCAGTAATAAAAAAAAAATCTCCCAACAAACAAAAGTCCAGGGCCAGATGGCTTCCCAGGGGAATTCTAGCAAACATTTAAAGAAGAGTTAATACCTATTCTTCTCAAACTAAGAAAAAAAAAAAAAAAGAAATGGGAGGAAAACTTCCAAACTCATTCTATGAGGCCAGCATTACCCTGATACCAAAACCAGAGGGAGAAACCACTGAAAAAAAGAACTACAGGCCAATATCCCTGATGAACATGGAGGCAAAAATTGTCAATAAAATACTAGTAAACCAAACCCAACAATACTTTAAAAAAATAATTTACAATT